TCAGCTGGACCACCTAGGGATGGAGTCGCCATTCTCCCGGTAGCACCTGCTGCTGCTCGTCGGCTGCACGGTTGAGCAGGCCCGGAATGTAAACGGCACGAAGCGACCTCAGATGCTTCTGACTCCAAAGGAGGAGATGGCGGGCGAGTTGTGACATGCGGCGGGAGTGTAGACCACCCTGATGGTTGATGTACGCAACGGTCGCAGTGTTGTCCGTACGGACCAGTACATGCTTGCCTTGTAGCGACGTTTTGAAGCGGCCCAGCGCAAGATGTACTGCTAACAACTCGAGGCAGTTGATGTGCCAATGCAGTTGAGGCCCCGTCCACAGACCTGAAGCTGCATGCCCGTTGTACGTGGCCCCCCAGCCGGTGATAGAGGCCTCCGTGGAGACCACAGAGTGCCTGGACACTTGTTCTAGGGGAACACCTGCCCGCAGGAACGAAGGGTCCGACCACAAGCTGAGAGTTTGGCGACAGTGCGGGGTTACTGGAACCCGGCACGAGCCGCTCTGCCACGCCCATCTCGGGACTCGATCGTGAAGCCAGTGTTGGAGCGGTCTCATATGAAGCAATCCGAGCGGCGTTACCGCGCTGCAGATGCCATATGCCCCAGGAGCCTCTGAAACAGTTTCAGTGGTGCCGCTGTTCTGCGTCTGAGCGTACTCACGCAGTTCAACACTGACTGGACGCGGGCCTCGGTGAGACGCGCTGTCATGTTGATCGAGTCCAACTCCATACCGAGAAAAGAGATCCTCTGCCCGGGGGTGAATTTGCTCTTCTCCCAGTTGACCCGAAGCCCTAGGTGGCTGAGGTGACTGAGCACCATATCCCTGTGTTCGCACAACTGCTCTCTCGACTGGGCGAGAATAAGCCAGTCGTCGAGATAGTTGAGAATGCGAACACCAAGCTCGCACATGGGAGCAATGGCCGCCTCTGCAACTTTCGTGAAGACGCGGGGCAACAGGGCCAGCCCGAAGGGTAAGACTTTGTACTGATATGCCCGTCCCTCGAACGCAAAGCGAAGAAACGGTCTGTGTCGAGGGAGAATCGAGACATGAAAGTACGCGTCCTTCAGGTCGATAGCTGCAAACCAATCTTGGGGACGGATGCATTTGAAAATGCGTTTCTGCGTAAGCATCTTGAATGGCAGCCTGTGAAGGGACCGATTCAGGACGCGCAGGTCCAAGATTGGCCGTAACCCACCTCCTTTCTTGGGTACAATGAAGTACGGGCTGTAGAAGCCGGTCTTCATATCGACTGGAGGGACCGGCTCGATTGCGTCCTTCGCCAGTAGGACTGCAATCTCCGCTCTGAGAACAGGGGCACTGTCCGCCAGAACACGGGTGAACAGGATGCCCCTGAAAACAGGGGGGCGCCGGGCGAACTGAATCGCATAGCCGAGTCTGACAGTACGGATGAGCCAGCGAGACGGACTGGGAAGCATTAGCCAAGCTCCCAGAGACCGAGCAAGAGGGACCAACGGCACCACAGACGTACCCGGAGTGGGGCAGCGTGACGGAATGCAGGGACCCAACTCGGGCGGCATAGCGGCCCGGAGTGGGGTCTGAACGTGTGGTGCAAGACGTACCTGCTTCCGCCGGAGGGCAGAGTGAGTGTGCGGAGGCGACAGTGCGTCCAGGACACAGCCACTGCTGCCTGCTGGCGATGGAAGAGGGGCTCGGGAGTGACAAGGCATAGCGTCGTCGACTGCCAAGCGCGCCCTCTTGGGGCCCAGAGGTTTCAGAAATTGCTCTTTCTTTGAAAAAGTGGGTACCACTGACCCGTGGGTCAGTGGCGGAACAAAAAGAAAGGAAACAAAGGATTCTCCACCCGGCCCTCCACCGGGGGAAGGAGTGGCACGTCCGCCATCTCCTGAAGAGCAACTTGATCCACCTCTGGGCTGCCCGTCTCAGGGACGTTTGCACTGGCGCTTGCCTCCTGGCTTGGCAGCGGCCTGGACGGGCGGGGTCGACTTCCTGCGGCTTGCTCCACGCTGAGGCCTGGATGATGGCTGCTGCTGGGGCTTAGCGGGAGCGGAGGACGCCGCAGGAGGCCGACCTCGGCGACGAGTAGACGGAGGAGCTGCGGCCGGCGAGCGGGTGGGAGCAGCAGCGGTCCGCCGGGGCAGGATGTGTCGGATGGCCTCCGTCTGCTTCTGTGCGGCCGAGAACTGCTGGGCAAAGCTCTCGACCGTGTCGCCGAACAACCCAACCTGGGAGAGAGGGGCATCCAGGAACCGGTACTTATCGGTTTCCCTCATGTCCGCCAGGTTGAGCCAAAGGTGGCGCTCCTGGACCACCAAGGTGGACATCGCCTGACCGACTGAACGTGCAGTTTCCTTCGTCGCCCGGAGGGCGAGGTCGGTTGCCACACGGAGCTCCCGGAGGAGCTCTGGGTCAGAACCACCCTCGTTCATGTCCATGAGCGCCTGGGCCTGGTGGATCTGCAAGAGCGCCATGGCATGAAGAGCGGAAGCAGCCTGTCCACAGGCCTTGTAAGCCCTCTCCGTTAGACCGGACGAAAACTTACAGGCCTTGGACGGGAGGCGTGGGTCACCCCGCCAGGAGGAGGCGGATGCCGGACACAACTGCATCGCGACAGCCCGCTCCACTGGGGGGATCCCCACATACCCCTTAGCTGCCCCGCCGTCGAGGGTGGCGAGGGGAGAGGAGCCACTAGGACGGCTTCGGTCACTATACGGTGCCTTCCACGTCCTAGAAAGCTCCTCATGCACCTCCGGAAAGAAAGGTACCGGGGCGGCGCACTGAGAACCAGCACGGCCCGCCCCGAGAAACCAATCGTCCAGCCGAGAAGGTTCGGGACGTGGTGGAGGATTCCACGCAAGCCCGACCTTCTCGGCGGCCCGGGAGAGCATAGCGGCCCATTCTGGATCCGGCTCGGACAACGCTACACACCCCGAAGGGGGCAACGCAGCCGAGTCGTCATCTCCAGATGACCGCTCCCCCTCCGATGCTGCGATCGACATCTGATCGTCAGCTGGTGCCCCAAAGGAAACGACTGGTCGTTCCGGAGAAGGACCGAGCCGTTTGCAAAGGGGCGCCGATGGCAACAGCACATGAGAGGCGTGAGGGGCCCGCGGAGATTGCCTCGGCGGGGAAGCCCTCACGGTAATCCTCAGATCACCCTGGTCATGCGCCGAAGTAGGCCTATTCTGCGGGGCAGAATAAGCACTAGATCGGGGCAAAGGCGAGGGGACTGCACCTCCCTTGAGGTAAGCGAGTCTCGATCTAAGTGCTGTGATAGTCATATTCCCGCAATGGGAACATGAACTATCCACAAAAGCTGCTTCAGCGTGCCGAATGCCCAAACACGAGATGCAGCTATTGTGGCCATGTGCTGGCGCCAGGGAACGACTGCATCCAGAAACGCACAAGCGGAATGACATCTTGAAAAAGACGCAGGGTCCGCTTGTGTTGCTCTTTTAGTAAAATAAAAAAAGGAAATTGCTCTCACAGTGCTGAGGCGCCCAGGGGTAGCCACTGTGTGGACACACACACACACACACACACACAAACAATAGTGCTGTGAGAACAGCAGTTGAGAGCTGCACTGCTCGCGGCCACCGCTGATCGCGCCGTCACACCAACACTGGAACCGAGAGAGATCTTCCTTGAAGTCTTCAAATGCGTTGAATCTTTAGACAGAAGTCACAGGAAACTCGCGTTCCGAAATAAAAGACGGTGGGTGCTCGCGCCCGCTTCCTGTTTTATACCCGCGCTGCGGGGCGGGGGCGCGTGACGCGTTCACGCACACCAACGTTCATTGGCTTGTTCTTAGATACTCGAAGTTGATAGGGCTCCCTGAAGTGATCCCCTAACGTCGTCACGTCGACGTCACGTCGAACGTGAGCGACTGAAGGGGAACTAATATTCACTGGATGGTCATATACCTTTTCACCGCTAGATGGGGGTAAAAATCACACAGTGTAGCTTTAATATATGAATTAGTATTACTAGATTATATTATTATTATTAAACTGTATACAAATAATTGGCATAAATGTCTCATCTCTCTCTCAGCATATGAGAAGCGCGAGGGCTTTTTTAGTGATTCAGTCTCACGCCGCTTCCACGCGTCCACTAGACAGGGATATTACGAAACTCATAGATAACGACACGTTTCAGCCTCTGTTGGAGCAAGAGTGGCTAACTTCTGTCAACCTCGGCTATAAGCGAGGAAGAAAATAAAGCCATTTCATTTGAATCAATATCGATTCTGGAATAAAAATAATACATTTTCAAATCGTAAACAAAAAAAATCGTGATAGTTTGGAGAATTGATTTTTTCAGACAAAACACACACACACACACATACACACATACACACGTTAGGTTTCCATGTTTTATGGGGATTTTCCATAGAAATATTGATTTTTATACTGTACAAACTGTATATTGAATCCCCTAATCAATAAATCACTAATCCGTGTATCATTCGTTCAGTCGTTTTTTTGATTTAATATTAAAAGTAGAAAAAGGAGAAAACGGATTTTTTTTTTTTTTTTTTTATGAAAAACAAGAATTCATTTTGATTTTTCGTGAGTTAAGTTAAAGTTTATTTCGGTCAACTTTAAAAGAAAAGGCAAAAGAAGAAAAACAATTTACAAACATACATGGAAACAAAAATTAAATTAAATTACAATGTAAACAATCATTTGTGTTTCGTTCTCAGGTAGAAACATTAATAACGTCTTGAATATTGGATTTCTACAAGTGGGCGGGAATGAAACGCCCCTTTCCTCTGATTTATCAGCCGGAGATGAAACTGTGTCGTTTTTGGACAAAATTAAAAACACTAAAAAGGAACCGTTTTCTCATTTTTCTACGTTCAATATTAAATAAAATAAAAACGACTGATACACAGATTCAAACTGATGTATTTGAACAACATGAACTAATGAGTATTTGCATATATATTATTTTAAGTGTTGTGTTTATCTCTGGATATAGGCTTAATGTGTGTCATTGTTCTCTACAGGTTGAGTGTGTGTGCAGTCACAGATGAAGGTTGTGTTGCTCTGGCTTCAGCTCTGAGATCAAACCCCTCACACCTGAGACATCTGCGCCTGTCATATAATAAACTAGGAGACTCAGGAGTGAAGCTGCTGGAGGATCTGAGGGATGATCCACATTATAAACTGGAGACACTACTGTAAGAATAGTTCTTAACGATTTTCATCATATTTTCATTTAAAGTTTAAATGGCTGTTTTACTTGTTTTACTCACTAGAAATAATAGTAAAGGTTCAGTGTGTGTGTGTGTGTGTGTGTGTGTGTGTGTGTGAATATTGTGTCTGAGATCATCAGATAATGAGTCGTAAGTTCAGCTTCAGTTTCTGTAGGTCTCTGAACTTTAAACTGTTTAATATGAGTGTAATTCTGCTCATACTGTTGTGACTGATTGTGAGAATAATATGAATGTTATTTTCAGCTTTTCCCCTTTAACTGTCTCTATAGGCATCTTTACACAGCCGAGTTAAGGGGGCTCTAAAGCGACTCTGTGTCTGCTCAAAGTTATGTGTAAAGACACTAGGGCTGGTCCGAATACCATTTTTCTTCGTAGCTTCGAAGCTTCGGTAGAATTTTGATTATTTCGAGAACCGTTCATCCAAACGACTTCACAAGGGAGTGCAGTGTCGTATTTGGTGCAATATAGACAGACAGGCGAGACGCGACCGTCTATGGACGCGACACATTCAAAATTAATAAACGTTTAACCCTCTGGGGACCAAGGAGTTTTTGGGGCCCTTTGGATGTTTTGACATGCACTGACATTTGTGCTTTTTTCAGTTATTTATAAACATGTTAATGGCAAAGGTGTAAATTCACTCTATATAGCACAAACGGGGCTACCATAATCTGTGAGCAACATGTATATACATGTTTGTATTTTTGAGAGAATATTATTTATGCATGGTTATTTAAAAAACTTAAAAATAAAAGTTTCTGAAATAAGGCCACAAAACACATATTGATTATTTCTTCACAAGACTTTTGAAAATTGTATCACATAGCCTAGAATATTTGCTCCAAAACTATGTGAGAATCATCCTGACTACTCATTCAGATAAGTCAATAAAGTCTTTTATAATGTGTATGCCGTGTTTAGTGTGAGAAAGCTTTATGCGCGGAGGCGTGATCTCTCATTAATATGTATGGCATTTCACACCTGAGAAAGACAAAGACCCTCCCATAATAGCCCTATTAGGTGCTATCAGGCCCTATCATTAGGAGCCTTGCACAAAGAATGAGGAGATTTAAAAAAGAATGGCTTTTAGATTGTTTGATACACAACAAAGGACAAAAAAGCACTTTAGTACCGTAAACACACTGATCTAAAGACAGAGGCTTGCACAGTCACACAGCATTGTCCCATTCCTGAAACATAGTACATACCTGTCATTTCCAAGGTGTTTGATTTTTCATTACAGTCTCCTGTGAATGTTGAAGTCAGCAGGACTGATATCTAGAGAAACTATATGGCTGCACGACTTTGGGCATGCATTGTAGATTTTTCTGGTTAAAATAGCTTTTTAATTATATTATATATATATATATATATATATATATATATATATATATACATACACACACACACACACACTGCTTAGAATTAGAAGTGAACACACCCATGCTAAAGTTGACTAAAAAGAGGAATAAAAAATCTTAATGCCTTAATTAAAAAAATGAGGAAAACTCCAACCTTTAGGGACATGTATAATGTCCCTGAATTCTTTGTGAATGAACAATGTATCGCAAATAATTAAATGTTCTTCTTTAAAATACAGGGTGCATACGTCTGGACACTTCTATCCCCAGAAACTCCTAACAAAAGCTGATGTCTTTATTTTAAAGCTTATTTGAAGCTTATTTGATGCTTATTTGATTTGAAAAACTTTATCCAAAACTAGTCAACGAAATGTTGTCTTTTATTTCGTCTGTAACAGTGCGTATCTGTGCGTTCATTCATTCATTTACACACACACAGAGAGAAACATGATTCACATTTAAACAGTATGCTATTTTTCCGTTTACAGACACTAACTTTATTCTATATCGCGATTAGAACAAAGCACATTTTATGCTTGCAAGCATAAAACACTTACACTTCTCAGCTGAATCTGTTGCTCCTCCTCGAAGTGAAAATAAACCAGCACTTCTGTATTAAATGTCCCAGGATTATTCCTCATAGCCGTGCAAGACGATTCTTAATCTGACTAAAAAATATATTGTGTTTACAGCATTTGCCTGGGGGCGTTTATCTATTTTGCAAATGGCCTCAACACATTATCTTATGAATAGCGCGCTCTGCGAGTGGGTGTGAACAAATTAATGATAATGAGCTGAGACAGGAGAAACTTTACTTCTCTTTAGTTTCAGACAGATTACATTGCAGGAGAATATCTGTTTTAAATGTGAATTGTTTTATTTAAAAGGAGAAATTTAAAGCGTTCTTTAGACGTATGTTTCATGTTTGTGTGATAAGTATTAGCGGAGTTTCCGTTCATTTTCCAGACATGTTTCAGAAAGATTTTTGCGGAGACAGAGTGAGCTGAAAGCGCCCCCTGTTTATTTTATTTATTTAAAAAAAAAACACACAAGGTTTTGATGTTAATGTGAGTGTACACAAAAAAAGAAGACCCTCTATAGTTTATAATCATGTATTGATTTTATTTATATGACCATAAATGACGGAGTATTTTAAGTCCATGTTGCTGCTATGTGAAAAAAAAAACAGCAAAACGCGCGGGCACGCTCTTGGTCCCCAGAGGAATAAACTACAGAACAGCGCGAGCGGGAAGTGGCGCGCCTCACGCGAGCAGAGCTATATGCTCCGAGAACGGACACTGCACTAGTGATATAAAACAAAACACACACACACACAGGTCTTTTAACTAAACCAATATTTTTAATAAGGTATAGTCTTATAATATTTTTCTCACTGACAAAGTAGGGTAGATTTAAATAAATAAAAATGAAATTTAAATAAATAAAAACGAAATTTAAATAAAAAAAATTAAAAACTAAATTTAAATAAAAACGAAATTTAAATATAGAAAAACGAAATTTAAATAAAGAAAAACGAAAATGTGACGTGATGTCCCATTAAAATCTCAAAGTCTCCTATATTTCATAGTAGATTCATTTAGATTGATAATACATTTTGTTTCTATTGTTCTATTTTCCACAATGTCAAAGCAACGCAGCTTAACCCAAAATACAAGCTCAAGCATGCACTTCTGTCCACACACACTCCGCTGTTCTGCTCTAGCCAGAGAATACTCCCGTTGCAGGAACACTTTTAGTAGTCCAAGAAGAAGCAAATATATTTATTAAGTAGCTATAACAAAGTTATGTTAAATATTATATTTCACCAGAATTTATAGTGTAAAACACATTCAAGCGCGAATGAGAACATTTCGAGGGGGATGCCAGGTGTGCAAAAAAAAAAAACGGAAACCCCCCCTACATTTTCAAATCGAATACCAACCCGAACGAATATTCGAATATTCGGGTCCAGCCCTAAATATTAAGGCTGCTCTAAAGCTGCTCTGAACTACTTAATATGAGTGTAATTCTGCTCATACTGTTGTGACTGACTGTGAGAATAATATGAATGTTATTTTCAGCTTTTCCCCTTTAACTGTCTCTATAGGCATCTTTACACAGCCGAGTTAAGGCGGTTCTAAAGCGGCTCTGTGTCTGCTCAAAGTTCTGTGTAAAGACACAATGCCGCATAAAAGCAAACTGAGAATATGCCGGCCTGACCCGCCTCAGCCCCTAGTATCAAAGATGACTCTGATATTGTTCTGGTTCAGTGTAAATGAGTGCGAACTTGTGCCGCTCTAAACTACGCCATTGTCATGACAACCAAACGCACGGCGCGAGAATCAAGAAGCGGAAGACGACACATATAGGCCGAGCTCATATTGTTTTAGCCAAATTAAAACATGTCAGCCAACAAGCGACAATAAAGTAAACGTGTCCTGTACTCACATCGTGAAGCAAACCAGCAAAATAACAGAGTCGTGGACGTGTGTAATCGATTGGCTTTGGCCGTTTGTAATCTTCCTGTGAAGAGACTGGCAGATCAACGCGCCGCTACATTTCTCTCAGCGATATCTGAGCTTACTCCCAAAGACCTTGGATATTTGAGTCTTGAACAATGTGTAACACAGCTATTATATTTAAGAGCAGACACGTCTTGAGTTCAGGAGTCTTAAATGTCAAACATCAAATATCTCAAGAGCCACTGAGATTTAACCTCTGACCTCTCTGTGACCAGCAACACCCTGAGTGACCAGCTCATCCTGACACTTCTGCTGCTTCTGCACGGCTTTCACTGACAACTGCTCTTTCCTTGAAATGGGGAACAGTGGTTTTGTGTAGACACTTAAGAGAGAGGTATAAGGGCACAAGCCATCACTTTGAGTGATTTATGGCCCAATAAAATGGTTCCCACGCTCAAGCCACGCCCCCTTCTACCCCACCCACCCACTTCCGGTCTGAACACCTGGACCGTGGGAATTTTCCCACGGCCCCCCCTCCTCTTTCCACCTCCCTCACCCCCTCCGGCCACCCCTCCCCTCAGGGTTGTGAGGATTTGAAGTGTGTCAGTGAGAGTTTTATGATTTAAAAATGTAAAACGTTAAAAAATGTTGAAAAACATTAAAACAATGTTGAAAAACATTAAAACAATGTGTTTTCAAATCTTTTTTTATTTTATTTTTTTATTTATTTTTAAGAAGGTTGACCGTAAGGTTGACGAGGTAAGTTCAGTGTTTTATCAAAGTCTGTTGTACATTCAAAACCAGTTTTAAAACAGTGTATAAATGTTAAAAGTATAAATTGTATTTCTTATAAGTGTTAGTGTTAAAATGTCATCAGACAAATAATCATTTGTGCAAAACGTTGAAAGAGGAAGATATGTTTAACCAGTTTTGTGTTTAAACATGTGTGAAAGAGCACAGAGTGTAATCTCCGGGATGCACGATAAAAAAAACACATCTGATCGTACAGGAGGTCTGACAGCAATGATGACAGCAAAGTCTGTACACCACCCCACACCCTGACTCCTCCCACGGCACACCCCACACGTGACGTGTGTGGGAAAACACCGCACAGGGAGGACCCTAGCGTCATACACAAACC